CATGAAGTTGCTTTGAACAAATCGTTGATATGTAGTAAAAATAGTGTTGGTGCTTGAATTGATCCTTGCGGACTAGTGTCAATTAGCTCCTGACAACGGTCTCTAAATTTGATATCAAAATATTCCCTACATTTGATTTCAAAGATCGTGATATAATAACATATTATGATGATCGAATGATAAGTGAATTTTCACAGGAGATAACTCAACGGTATAATTATGGCGGAGAAGGAAACTATTCTCGAAATAGAAACTTGACATCAGTCAACATAACTAAACATAACCTCCTAATATTTTGAGTAATCTCATCACTGAATATGCGACATAATATAATATCGTTTTTTCTGTGACGGGAAAAAAGTTTGGCATTTCATCTCTGTTGGCAGGTTATAAAATGTCACTTTTCATAAATTACTTTTTTCCGATGGGAAAAAAGTGAGTACTGTTTTCCCGGATATATATCACATACATAAACACAGATGATGGCTTTTGTTGTGCTATACTATACCTACTTCTGTATCTCTAATCATCATTTCTTCATCATCGCTTGTATTCGAAGTATCTATGATTTTGGAAATTATTGTAATAATAGTAATAAACTTCAATGAGACATTTATAATTATTCAAAGTCCAAACATTTTGCCACTCGTGACTCGAATATTTGAGGTTATGTGTATCGCACCGTCGTACAAGCACAGTTCTGAAAACTCGAACTCTGAGCGGGCATCGAGCAAGTTTGAAAGCCAGTGGAAATCCTTTTCGAGACGAAAGTTCGCTCTTGAAATTCTCAGTAGACCACGCAAAATGCACTCAGTGTGGAAAAAGTTCGAGCACGGAAAACGATATAAGTACCTATACGAGTTTTTTTTAAGCTGAATGGAATGTGTTTCCGACTGTTTCCACGATATTATGTAAAATTCCTTGCGATCAACGGTAAAATGAAGTCGCATTATTTGCATTATGCAATTTTCGAATCGCTTTTGATTCAATTAACCTCAATCATTATCCGCCGTGCAATACAGCGAGATTCAATTACAGGAAATTGTGTTGTGATCGGTTATCTGTTATCACAATTCTCGATCAAGTACGGTGTCCATTGTTCCTCCAGCGATCGTATTGTTATTCAGTTCTAAGTTTTTGCGAAATACGCACATCAAAATTTTGATGACCTCATAAGCAATAAAAACCATAAAAGACGATTTATTTCATGAATCAGGTACACAAAGAGATAACGTATTATAAGGATGTATCAAAGTTAGGAAACAATAATAAAGTGATGAAGAAAATATTCAGAAGCTTCTGCACTGAGGAAAATTGTGCTATTAGAGTTTTTGCTGAGATATTTCTTGCAACCATTACAAGAAATCATATTACCGTTATACATTTTCGAATAGAAGCAGCACCTTGAAATCCTATGATAGCAATAAGGACTTTGCTGAAAGTGAATTTCCTGCCACAGGAAGGTATACTGCTGTCGCTATCAGGCAGCCACTCTGGAACAGCATGATTTTTTTCATAATTGTCTAGCTGAACTACTACTAGTGAGTTGTATGCTCGTGGCTGCGAGGTTCATCGCATAGAACTGCACTCACTACCAATAATACAACTGTCAGTCTGCAATGAAAATAATATTTGACGAACCTACTTGGGGTTATTCAGCGCCTACTCATCGTTATTCAATATTTTGCTGATTTGTCCCCCTCTATATAAGCATTTGTCAGACATCTTGCTTGATCAATCATTCACAGTTAGGCTCTTGATGCAAACCCATGTACAGGACGACAATCTCGACGACACGGCAGTTACGAAGACTTCCCCTCGTGAATTCAATTCATTATTCAAAATCTGAATCTGAATTCAAATATAAAATGGAAACATTTTCAAACAAATAAAAAAATCTTCTGTGTCCCTTTCAGTGCTTTCGTAGATCTGAGTGCTTTAGTTATTATACCAGGATTGATGGAATGATGAAGGTGAGTTTTTTCGAGGTATTTCGTCTGAAATTCAAATATTTTACATTCAATAACATTACCCTCTTTTTGGTATCATGAAACTTTAAAATTGTCAAATATGTTTCAGAGCTTCTCTATAGAATCTGGTATAAAAACTTATTGTGAGCAAAAATGTCCAGGTGATGAAATTATTTGAATGATTTTACTGGTAACATTTTGTTTTCCTGTAAGCATCTGTAATAACTTGCCTAGTTTTCGAAATACAATGGTTTCAGAAGGTTTCAAAAATATTCTTTTTTTCATCAATTACTCAAAAACCCTTTGGTTTTTCCTGAGCGTGCATCAATCAATCGATCTATTGAATTTCAAAGATCATTGGTCCGAAATTTTCTTTAGGAATCAATAAATTGCTATTCATACCAAACATCAGGGTGGAAATTATGGGAAGTGAAAGTGGATAACAGTCGAAATTTCACCTTTCTTGATGACAACAATCCTGGAAAATAACTGAATAACTACAGTAAGAAGGTCATGCAACTATCTATATGATCACCCATCAAGAGTAGCAAAGTTCCCTACCTACGATTATAACATTGCCCTACTCCCATTATTAGATGCACTCACTAGCGGTAGCAAAGTCAGATACCTACTACAGAAACATCGTCTAATAGCATCATACAGATGCACTCGCTAGTGACAGCAAGGTTCTATATCTAATAATCGCAGGTGGGTTATAATCAGCAAAGTCGACTTTATAATCACAGGTGATAACTCGCTTGTCCCCTATGCTATTAGAGTTTCTTGCTGGGGTGATTCGATTTCTGACTATGGTCAATAGAAATTTTCCTCAGTGTGCGATAGTATTTCAATGTTGACAACGGGGTGCTAACTGCTAATTAGGTATAATGATTTCTACAGTATCAATTCACAGAACTAGTTCTTTGTCAAAAATCAATCACCTAAATGGTCACTCATTAATTAGTGCAATACATAACTATATTTAATTCGAGCAGCATTCCATGAAGTCTTATATGTCCACCGAGTCCAGAAGAAAATTGTAACAGAGTGAAAGTTTGCCAATCTGGTTCTAGAATGGCTTCAAATTTATGATTTTGTATAATAATTTGCAGACACCGATATCTTACAGCTTATACCTACACCTTTCTCGAAAATCGAATTGATACTAAACTCTTGATTCGTTTGAAGTTAGTGGTCATGCTTACAGGCAGGTAGTGATGTAATTATTGCATTTCTCTGATTTCAATTTATAATCAACAGTAAAAACAGAAGAGCTTTTTTTTATCGGATAAATTCCTCTTGGTAACGAAAAATATTTGCCAATCAGTAATTTCACGAGAAAAATTTTGTCTGATGTCAGTTTTTCGAGAGAAATATCTGATGGAAAATGTTTGAGTTGATAAGGAAATTTATCTAATTTAAAAAAAAGTTCGAGTGTTTTTTTTTGGCGAGATAGATCAACTACAATATATAAATAAACAACAATTCATAATGATTACTTTTATTGACGATTCCGTGTAACTGGTAGTTTGCGGAATTTATTTTCTCATATTTTCGTGGTTTCTCCAGACGAAATTTTCCTAAAACGGCTCATCTTGCTAATTTACGCGTGAACCATACCCATCAATCAAACTTGACATGACAGAAATTGGAGTGACATCAGGCGCAAATAGCTACTACACCTATTTCAGAAAGCGTCAATTGTATTTCAGAATAGTCAATTCGATTTCAGAAAGTATCAAATGTATTTCGGAATAGTCACTCCTATTTCAGAAAGCATCAATTGTATTATAGAATAGTCAATTCAATTTCAGAAAGAGTCAATTGTATTCCAGAAAAGTCAATTCAATTTCAGAAAGCATCAATTGTATTTCAGAATAGTCAATTGAATTTCAGAAAGATGCAATTGTATTTCAGAAAGTATCATTTGAATTTCAGAAAGCGTCAATTGAATTTCAGAAAGCGTCAATATTGTATTTCAGAATAGTCAATTGAATTTCAGGAATCGTTCTCTATAGACTGAAAGCCAGAGACCACCAGACGTCATTTCAACAAGGTCGATATTTTTATGTGTGTTATACCTTATTCGGTGAAATCGTTTTGGGAGTTAAAAATCTTCACTACCGGATGGACTTTCAAGACATACTGGGTGTTGAAAGTACCAAAAATACTGTCAAAAACATCATTTCAACAAAAGCTGATCTTTTTATGTTCAATCGGACCCTATCATGAAAGACAATATACAATTGCCAGACACTTTCCACGGGGTGTTCTCCTGCCAAACAACTTTAAAAATCGTGAAAGTATCATAGCAATAGAAATAAGTTTATCTCTGATGGTCCCCTATACCTGAAATTCTGTAATCTGTTCGTCAAATAGTATATAGGTACCTGAAGGTACCTAAAAGAGGAATTTGGGGTGATTAAATTGAAAACATCACTTCAGGAAGCACTGAACATTCTATGCATTCTTACATGGGATGCACTTTCTACTTACTAATCTTTAGCTTTTTGAAATTCAATTGACGCTTCCTGAAATTCTGATGATATTTTCTGAAATACAAATGACGCTTTCTGAAATTCAATTGACTATTCTGATATACAATTGATGCTCTCTGAAATACAAGTGTCTATTCTGAAATACAATTGACGCTTTCTGAAATTGAAATGACGCTTTCTGAAATACATCTGGAAAAGGTGTAGATCAAAGGAGTAGGCAGTTTATCAGCGATAAAAAAAGGTGCATTCTTTTTTATCGATGTCAAAATGACTGACGTCGTCGTCAAATAGCGTTTTCTGTGTAGGATTTGCTTTATCTTCAAAAAAATATTATCCCATTGCCAAGTATCAATGAAAATACCTTTCGAAAATTGATTTGAAAAAGTCATTCCAATATTTTTTGTACTGGTACAAGATGAAGAATGCAAATTATTATCATTTTTTTCTGCTTTTTTTTTCGGTGGTCAATGTATAACTAAAACGAAATGTACACAGGGAATCTTTCTGCATATGTCTTGGGTTATCTCGGCCGATGCTCAATATAAAACATCTCTTTTGTAACATTCAGCCAGTATTGAAAGAATCATACGAGACTCAAAATGGTCCATCGGTTGTTGATAAGCGTTATATTCTTAGTGCAGTTTTTAGCGGTACAGTGTTATCTAACTCAGTGAAAAGTTTCACAGTAACTAAAGGTGAGTAGATGGGTACTAAATAGTTTGTCCTTTATTTATTCTACATATTCTCTTATAGCTATGATGTACCTACTCAGTATGAAATTGGAGAAATTTAGAGACAGACTTTACTATTTTGGAGCCATAGTTCCGAATTGTCATTTGGCACGTTCTTCTCTTGAAGTAAGTGAGTAAGGTACATACACCAATCATAACAAAGTGGTTGCAATGTGACGGTATTGACAATGGCAGCAAACTAACCAAAAGTAATATCACAAGTGATTGAATTTTCACTTGTAATAACACTATATGTCAAATTATTTCCGGAAATTTTATCGAGCTCATGGATAGTTTAATAATTATTCCGAGTCGAAGACGATGTGTGTATTTTTATAAACGGTCATCTTTGTACAAGCCGTCCTGAGTGAATAAAAATGTGTTTGAGTGTTGAAATTGTGTCTATCAACGATTCCTTCATTTAGAATCTTATACTAAAATGGTTTTACATGCCCTTGGGACATATTATATCATTTCGTTATCAGATAAAGGTCGAAATTTGCAAGCGGCTCTCTGACTATGGAAGCTGTAATAGGCAATTCATTCAAAGAAACAGGAGCACAAAGAAAGAACAAAATACGAAGTCAGACAACTTGACGAAATAACAACAATTTTAGAAGCTTGTATATGAAAGTAACTTAAATTAAACTCATGCAGCTGTGGAATCAAAACCACTCATATATATGTATTGCACTATTGAAAATAGTCATGCTTAAAGGTAAGTCATGATGTAATTATTGCATTCGTCTGATATCAATGTAATCTTCAAAATATATCACCTCCCTGTCCAAGTATCAATTAAAATACATTTCGAACAATATTAATTCGAAAAAGTCGTTCATATATTCGTATTGATACAAGAATAATAATAATAATAATGGTGAGTGCGAATTATCATTTTTTCAGCTTTTTCTCTTCGGCGGTCAATGTCAATGTATAACCAAAACAGAATGCAAACAGGGAATATGTCTTGGGTTATCTCGACCGATGCTCAATATAAAACATCTCTTTTGTAACATTCAGCCAGTATTGAAAGAATCATACGAGACTCAAAATGGTCCATAGGTTATTGTTGATAAGCGTTATTCTTAGTGCAGTTTTCAGCGGTACAGTGTTATCAAACCCAGTGAGGAATTTTGCAGTAACTAAAGGTTAGTATATGGGTCACTGAATATTTTGTTAGTGCAACTGAAAGTGGATGCAGTCAGTCGTTGAATAAGGAATTCCTTCATTTATTCTACAGAAACACTAGGCCATGGTGAAATACTCATGAATACCGTACCCAGTATCGAATTGGAGAAGTTTGAAGACAGTCTTTACTATTTCGGAGTCATATTCAAGGTATGGTCTTGGGTATCTTGTTTTCATTCTTGTTTGATGTGTGCATGAAAACCTCGAGAAAATTACATTTCCACTGAAAATCATGCTATTTTGGATAATACATAATGAAGAATATGAAAAATTTTTAGACAAACTACTACCGCGCGATGCAGTTTTGCAAATACCACGACATGGAACTGTTGAGTATAGAGAGTAAAGAAGAAAACGACTTCCTTCTAAAACATGTACAATCTCTCCGTAAGTAAACTCTATGTATGCACAGTGAGATCTTCCTCACTGATTCGATTATACTATTTCAAATTAAATTGAATAATACTCACAAAAATCAATTTTCGTTCAATCCAGTAATGTAAAAATTTCATCTGCTTTTCCACCCTCTCCAAGTGATAGCTACCTAACACTCAATTTTTTTATAACTAAATAACCTAATTAGAAAAAGCTCATAATAATTAATTCAGTGGTGATGCGTAAAATCGAGTTATTGATAATGTATATTCTTTACTACCTTGGCGTAGGTATGATAGTTATTTAAGTATTGAGGGCTCAAAATAGCCTTTTATGGAACGAACTTTAGCGAGGGCTATTAACCGAAATACATATACAGTGTCATTCATAAACTCGGCATCATATGGGAAATACTTTCATTAATGACTTATCTTGGAATTCGAGTTGGACGTTTAGTTTTGCTTCTAAAGAGATGGAAAATGGCATACTCAATCGTTGTCACGTGACTTTCGCTACATGTCAAAAGTGACATTTTTTTCAAATCAATCGCTGAAATTAGGCTTATTTGTTCGAATATCAAAAAAGTTTACTTGAAAAAGTTGTTTCTATTGCAATTTTACACATGCTTCTCGAATCTGATCTTTCTATTGCATTTTTTAGATTTTGTTTTCTTCTTAATTTTTCGAAATTTCTGTAATATTTGAAGAATTTATTGTCAATTCCACAAAACTACTTCATACCAGTAGCTTTTTCATGCTACTCACTTTCAATTACTTATTATCACTGATTATGGACAGAAATATGATTTTCTTCAGAAAATGATAATACCCGCTTCCAAATTCTGTTATGTTTGATGCAAAGTTGATATATCGTCAAGCATTTAGAAACGAAATTCAGTTGAACTGATCTTTTCAGTACTGAAAAAATAAATTCAAATGAATTCCGTTTCTAAATGCTTGACTCAAACCTAACAGAATTTTGATGTTATGTTTGCATCAAACATAACAGAATTTTGAAGCGGATATTATATCATATTTTTGTCGATAATTAGTGATAATTAGTAATTGAAAGTAATTAGCATGATGAAGCTACTGGTATGAAGTAGTTTTATCGAATTTACAATTTTTTTAATATTACAGAAATTTCGAAAATTTCTAAAAAATATCGAAGTCTAAAAAATGTGATAGAAAGATAAAATCCGAGTCACATATGTAAAATTCAAATAGAAACAACTTTTTCAAGTAAACTTTTTCAATATTCGAACAAATAAGCCTACTTTCAGTGATTAATTTGAAAAAGTGTCACTTTTGACATGTAGCGAAATTCAGGTGACCCCGATTGAGTAGGCCATTTTTAATCTTTTTCGAAGCAAAACTCAACGTCCAACTCGAATTTCGAAATAAGTCATTAATAAAAGTTTTTCCCATATGATGCCGACTTTATGAATGACACTGTACAACATTTTATGTTAGAAAGATAGAAATACATAATGGCTGCAGTGAGGAGTATCATCGATGTAATCAACGTTACCATGGTAACTCAGTCCATTATTTGAAATAGGAGTAGACTATTGTTTTTTTCTTTTTTTTTTGATGTACGATAAATTGATATTCATCATACAGGACGTGGAAAGAAATTCTGAATTGAAAAACCTAATCACAAATCTGCGCTTGAAGATTCTTACTCCGTTTTCGAGATACAAACCATCACAATTGAACAATAAATGTCCTGAATTCGACAGGAATTCTTATTATGAGGGGCGATGAAGTAGTTCGCGGGCGGTAAAATGCCTCTTTACGTCCGCGAAATCAGGCGGTAAAATGCTGCTTTACGCCCTGTCGTGCATAAATATCTATTTTGTCCTTGTATTTCAGTTGCCTACGGTGAACGTCAGTTTTGGACGTCCGGTACCAACATGATGGGAGACGTTAACTGGGTGTGGATGTCTACAGGAAGACCGATGGTTTTCAAAAATTGGGGCCCGAACCAGCCAGATAATAAGAATAAAACTGAAAATTGCCTGGAAGTCAAGTACCACAATCAGATCAAGGATCTGATATGGAACGACCGAGCGTGCAACGAAGAGGTGCACTGGGTATGCGAGACGACAGTACCAAAAAGTATTTCCAGTATTGTTGCTGACAATTGTAATGTGACTATATATACAGTGCCAGTGGAATGATCGATATAGTTTTTGTACGTATTTTAAATTTTCGAATAAAGTCTAGAAAAATATTGATGAAATTTCGGATATACCAGATCTAAAAGTGTTTCTCTACTGCAAAATTCGCTTGTCAAACAAAGTGTCACTTTTGATCCGAATGAAACATGCTATTTTTTCTTCAACCGAAACTATCAACTCTAATAAATATGTGAAGTAACCACCAATGCCGTGCTATCATATCGCTGCTCCAGAATAATAATGACGCAAATGCAAAAAAGTAAATTTTACAGGAGAAGGGAAAAACGAATTCAAAATATCAATTTTTCGATTTCCAAATACGCGATTTATACTATGAGTTTGAATCTTCGATATATTTGGAGATCTTAATTGGGAGTATACCCTCCTACTTCAATGTAGTATGTTCAAAGAGATGATATTTTGAAATTCGATATGGATATTTGGAGTTATGTCTTTATTCATGCTGAAAGAAAATTATGAATATTTTGGGATTTATAGGGCAATCAGGAAAAAATATTTTTCCACCTATATGAGCCTACTGCATACTGCATTGCGTGAACCGCCGATTTTGAAAATCTAAACGGAGAGTTATCTATTGAATCTGACATCAAATTCTTTCTATTTGGATCTGAATTAGTGTTTATGAATTTTTTGGGATTTTCAAAGCAATCAGGAAAAAAATAATTTTTACACCTATATGAGCCTACTGTATTGCGTGAACCGCCGATTTTGAAAATCTAAACGGAGAGTTGTCTATTGAATCTGACATCAAATTCTTTCTTTTTGGGTCTAAATTAGTGTTCATGAATTTTTTGGGATTTTCAGGACAATCAGGAAAAAAATAATTTTTCCACCTATATGAGCCTACTGTATTGCGTGAACCGCCGATTTTGAAAATCTAAACGGAGAGTTATATATTCAATCTGACATCAAATTCTTTCTTTTTGGGTCTGAATTAGTGTTGATGAATTTTTTGGGATTTTTAGGACAATCAGGAAGAAAATAATTTTTCCACCTATATGAGCCTACTGCATTGCGTGTACCGCCGATTTTGAAAATCTAAACGGAGAGTTATCTATTGAATCTGACATCAAATTCTTCCTTTTTGGGTCTGAATCAGTGTTTATGAATTTCTTGGGATTTTTAGGACAATCAGGAAAAAAATAATTTTTCCACCTATATGAGCCTACTGTATTGCGTGAACCACCGATTTTGAAAATCTAAACGGAGAGTTATCTATCAAATCTGACATAAAATTCTTTCTTTTTGGGTCTGAATAAGTGTTTATGAATTTTTTGGGATTTTTAGGGCAATCAGGAAGAAAATATTTTTTCCACCTATATGAGCCTACTGCATTGCGTGTACCGCTGATTTTGAAAATCTAAACGGAGAGTTATCTATTAAATCTGACATCAAATTCTTTCTTTTTGGGTCTGAATAAGTGTTTATGAATTTTTTGGGATTTTTAGGGCAATCAGGAAAAAAATTATTTTTCCACCTATATGAGCCTACTGTATTGCGTGAACCGCCGATTTTGAAAATCTAAACGGAGAGTTATCTATTAAATCTGACATCAAATTCTTTCTATTTGGATCTGAATTAGTGTTTATGAATTTTTTGGGATTTTCAAAGCAATCAGGAAAAAAATAATTTTTACACCTATATGAGCCTACTGTATTGCGTGAACCGCCGATTTTGAAAATCTAAACAGAGAGTTATCTACCAAATCTGACATCAAATTCTTTCTTTTTGGGTCTGAATAAGTGTTTATGAATTTTTTGGGATTTTTAGGGCAATCAGGAAAAAATGATTTTTCCACCTATATGAGCCTACTGTATTGCGTGAACCGCCGATTTTGAAAATCTAAACGGAGAGTTATCTATTGAATCTGACATCAAATTCTTTCTTTTTGGGTCTGAATAAGTGTTTATGAATTTTTTGGGATTTTTAGGGCAATCAGGAAAAAAATAATTTTTCCACCTATATGAGCCTACTGTATTGCGTGAACCGCCGATTTTGAAAATCTAAACGGAGAGTTATCTATTGAATCTGACATCCAATTCTTCCTTTTTGGGTCTGAATCAGTGTTTATGAATTTCTTGGGATTTTTAGGACAATCAGGAAAAAAATAATTTTTCCACCTATATGAGACTACTGTATTGCGTGAACCGCTGATTTTGAAAATCTAAACGGAGAGTTATCTAATAAATCTGACATCAAATTCTCCTTTTTTGGGTATGAATTAGTGTTTATGAATTTTTTGGGATTTTCAGGGCAATCAGGAAAAAAATAATTTTTCCACCTATATGAGCCTACTGTATTGCGTGAACCGCTGATTTTGAAAATCTAAACGGAGAGTTATCTATTAAATCTGACATCAAATTCTTTCTTTTTGGGTCTGAATAAGTGTTTATGAATTTTTTGGGATTTTTAGGGCAATCAGGAAAAAAATGATTTTTCCACCTATATGAGCCTACTGTATTGCGTGAACCGCCGATTTTGAAAATCTAAACGGAGAGTTAACTATCAAATCTGACATGAAATTCTTTCTTTTTGGGTCTGAATAAGTGTTTATGAATTTTTTGGGATTATCAGGGCAATCAGGAAAAAAATAATGTTTCCACCTATATGATCCTACTGTATTGCGTGAACCGCCGATTTTGAAAATCTAAACAGAGAGTTATCTACCAAATCTGACATCAAATTCTTTCTTTTTGGGTCTGAATAAGTGTTTGTGAATTTTTTGGGATTTTTAGGGCAATCAGGAAAAAAATAATTTTTCCACCTATATGAGCTTACTGTATTGCTTGAACCGCTGATTTTGAAAATCTAAACGGAGAGTTATCTATTAAATCAGACATCAAATTCTTTCTTTTTGGGTCTGAATAAGTGTTCATGAATTTTTTGAGATTTTCAGGGCAAGCAGGAAAAAAATTATTTTTCCACCAATATGGGCATACTGCATTGCTTGAACCGCTGATTTTGAAAATCTAAACGGAGAGTTATCTATTGAATCTGACATCAAATCCTTTCTTTTTGGGTCAAGTGTTCATGAATTTTCTGGGATTTTCAGGACAATCAGGAGAAAAATGATTTTTCCACCAATATGAGCATACCGCATTGCTTGAACCGCTGATTTTGAAAATCAAAACGGAGAGTTATCTATTGAATCTGACATCAAATTCTTTCTTTTTGGGTCTGAATAAGTGTTTATGAGTTTTTTGGGATTTTTAGGGCAATCAGGAAAAAAATAATTTTTCCACCTTTATGAGCATACTGCATTGCTTGAACCGCTGATTTTGAAAATCAAAACGGAGAGTTATCTATTGAATCTGACATCAAATTCTTTGTTTTTGAGTCTGAATAAGTGTTTATGAGTTTTTTGGGATTTTTAGGGCAATCAGGAAAAAAATAATTTTTCCACCTTTATGAGCATACTGCATTGCTTGAACCGCTGATTTTGAAAATCAAAACGGAAAGTTATCTATTGAATCTGACATCAAATTCTTTCTTTCTGGGTCTGAATAAGTGTTTATGAATTTTTTGGGATTTTTAGGGCAATCAGGAAAAAAATAATTTTTCCACCTTTATGAGCATACTGTATTGCGTGAACCGCCGATTTTGAAAATCTAAACGGAAAGTTATCTATTAGATCTGACATGAAATTCTTTCTTTTTGGGTCTGAATCAGTGTTTATGATTTTTTTTTTGATTTTTAGGACAATCAGGAAAGCAATAATTTTTCCACCTATATGAGCTTACTGTATTGCGTGAACCGCCGATTTTGAAAATCAAAATGGAGAGTTATCTATTGAATCTGACATCAAATTCTTTCTTTTTGGGTCTGAATAAGTGTTTATGATTTTTTTGGGATTTTTAGGGCAATCAGGAAAAAAATAATTTATACACCTATATGAGCCTACTGTATTGCGTGAACCGCCGATTTTGAAAATCTAAACGGAGAGTTAACTATCGAATCTGACATGAAATTCTTTCTTTTTGGGTCTGAATTAGTGTTTATGAATTTTTTGGGATTTTCAAAGCGATCAGGAAAAAAATAATTTTTACACCTACATGAGCCTACTGCATTGCGTGAACCGCCGATTTTGAAAATCTAAACGGAGAGTTATCTATTAAATCTGACATCAAATTCCTTCTTTTTGGGTCTGAATAAGTGTTTATGAATTTTTGGGGATTTTTGGGGCAATCAGGAAAAAAATAATTTTTCCACCTATATGAGCCTACTGCATTACTTGAACCGCTGATTTTGAAAATCTAAACGGAGAGTTATCTATTGAATCTGACATCAAATTCTTTCTTTTTGGGTCTGAATTAGTGTTTATGAATTTTTTGGGATTTTTAGGGCAATCGGGAAAAATATAATTTTTCCACCTATATGAGCCTACTGCATTGCGTGTACCGCCGATTTTGAAAATCTAAACGGAGAGTTATTTATAAAATCTGACATGATTTTTTTTTTGGGTCTGAATAAGTGTCAATGAATTTCTTGGGATTTTTGGGGCAATCAGGAAAAAAATAATTTTTCCACCTATATGAGCATACTGCATTGCGTGAACCGCCGATTTTGAAAATCTAAGCGGAGAATTATCTATTAAATCTGACATCAAATTCTTTCTATTTGGGTCTGAATTAGTGTTGATGAATTTTTTGGGATTTTCAGGGCAATCAGGAAAAAAATAATTCTTCCACCAATATGAGCATACTGTATTGCGTGAACCGCCGATTTTGAAAATCTAAACGGAGAGTTATCTATCAAATCTGACATAAAATTCTTTCTTTTTGGGTCTGAATCAGTGTTTATGAATTTTTTGTGATTTTTAGGACAATCAGGAAAGAAATAATTTTTCCACCAATATGAGCCTACTGTATTGCTTGAACTGCCGATTTTGAAGATCTAAACGGAGAGTTATCTATCAAATCTGACATCAAATTCTTTCTTTTTGGGTCTGAATAAGTGTTTATGAATTTTTTGGGATTTCTAGGGCAATCAGGAAAAAAATAATTTTTCCACCTATATGAGTCTACTGCATTGCGTGAACCGCCGATTTTGAAAATCTAAACGGAGAGTTATCTATCAAATCTGACATCAAATTCTTTCTTTTTGGGTCTGAATTAGTGTTTATGAATTTTTTGGGATTTCTAGGACAATCAGGAAAGAAATAATTTTTCCACCAATATGAGCCTACTGTATTGCGTGAACCGCCGATTTTGAAAATCTAAACGGAGAGTTATCTATCAAATCTGACATCAAATTATTTTTTTTTGGTCTGTACAAGTGTTAATGAGTTTTTTGGGATTTTTAGGACAATCAGGAAAAAAATAATTTTTCCACCTATATGAGCTTACTCAATGTATTGCGTCAACCGCCGATTTTGAAAATCTAAACGGAGAGTTATCTATTAGATCTGACATCAAATTCTTTCTTTTTGGGTCTGAATTACTGTTTATGAAATTTTTGGGATTTCTAGGACAATCAGGAAAGAAATAATTTCTCCACCAATATGAGCCTACTGTATTGCGTGAACCGCCGATTTTGAAAATCTAAACGGAGAGTTATCTATCAAATCTGACATCAAATTATTTTTTTTTGGGTCTGTACAAGTGTTTATGAATTTTTCGGGATTTTTAGGGCAATCAGGAAAAAAATAATTTTTCCACCTTTATGAGCCTACTGTATTGCGTGAACCGCCGATTTTGAAAATCTAAACGGAGAGTTATCTATCAAATCTGACATCAAATTCTTTCTTTTGGGGTCTGAATCACTGTTTATGAATTTTTTGGGATTTTTAGGACAATCAGGAAAGAAATAATTTTTCCACCAATATAAGCCTACTGCATTACGTGAACCGCCGAATTTGAAAATCTAAACGGAGAGTTATCTATTGAATCTGACATCAAATTCTTCCTTTTTGGGTCTGAATAAGTGTTTATGAATTTTTTGGGATTTCTAGGGCAATCAGGAAAAAAATAATTTTTCCACCTATATGAGCCTACTGTATTGCGTGAACCGCCGATTTTGAAAATCTAAACGGAGAGTTATCTATTAAATCTGACATCAAATTCTTCCTTTTTGGGTCTGAATACGTGTTTATGAATTTTTTCGGATTTTTAGGGCAATCAGGAAAAAAATAATTTTTCCACCTATATGAGCCTACTGTATTGCGTGAACCGCCGATTTTGAAATCTAAACGGAGAGTTATCTAATAAATCTGACATCAAATTTTTTCTTTTTGGGTCTGAATTACTGTTTATGAATTTTTTGGGATTCTTAGGACAATCAGGAAAAAAATAATTTTTCCACCAATATAAGCCTACTGCATTACGTGAACCGCCGAATTTGAAAATCTAAACGGAGAGTTATCTATTGAATCTGACATCAAATTCTTTCTTTTTGGGTCTGAATAAGTGTTTATGAATTTTTTGGGATTTCTAGGGCAATCAGGAAAAAAATAATTTTTCCACCTATATGAGCCTACTGTATTGCGTGAACTGCCGATTTTGAAAATCTAAACGGAGAGTTATCTATCAAATCTGACATAAAATTCTTTCTTTTTGGGTCTGAGTAAGTGTCTCTCAGCACAGAGCTTTGAGGCACACCATGATACATTACTTCTGATTTGGAGTATTCATTGTTGACAAATATTTTGTGTTTCCTGCCGGATAAATAACTAGTGAATAAGTCGTGGGGTAATCCTCTTATTCCAAATAGTCCCATTTTTTCCAAAAGCAAGGTGTGTGACACACAGTCGAAGGCCTATGTATGCAATGCAACAAATAATCCGGGTGGTGAGAATACCTGCATTAACAGAAGGTTCATTCAATTTTCTAGGATGTTCGAATTTCAGTTTCAATATAAATACAACCACACAGTGACATATTTGTTTATGGACCAGATGCTCAAATGGCAAATACCGTGCCAGTGCCAGGTATAGGAACAAGACGTGGAAAATGTCTTGTTAGCATATCAACAATAATAATAGAGCGATTATTTATTTCTCTCCATACTCCACTGTGTTTGGCTTGATAATCAAATGAAGGTAAACAATATCGTTGTTTGAGACAAAAACTATTGCTGAAGTTCAACTTTAGCTCCTAGGAATAACTAAAGTTCAACTTCAACTCCTAGGAACTAAATGTGATGCCTAGCGACATACCTATTTTCGTGCCAGTTATGGAAACATCAATTCAAGAGCTAATTTTAGTATCGAAATGGACGATTTTTGTGTCGGTTGCGGAAAAAAAATATTTTGTACACATTCAAAGCCATCGACACTCATGCAATATCGACTTAACTATCATTTTTGGCATTTCTAGAATGTATCCTCTTCAGGTATGTTAGTAAGGTACTTCAATTCCAACAAAGTGGTGCAATCTGTCGGTATTGACAGTGGCAGCAAAATAATCAATGATGTAGTCGCAACTTCTTCTTTATATTCTCAAATTTCATCTCAGTCTATATCAATAAATAATCTATGAACAATGGAGAGCTCGCACTCGATAGCCTATTGAATTGAATGCAAATTGAATCAACATTAGAAAATGTATTATTATTATTATTATTATTTCAACAACGAGGGGTCAGAAGGGTCCAAGTTCAAAAAATATATTGATATATACAGGATGTCATTTAAGTATGTGACCAAATTTCTAGGAGGAAGGATTATTTGGGTGATTCTAAGATGAAAAGTTTATGTAAACATAGGTCTATCAGAAATGCTTCGTTTCCAAGTTTCAATAAAAAATCGATTTTGTTAACACTATCATGAAGCTTCTTTTTGTGTGACTAGATTCGAAATAATGATTCGCAGTGGGTTAACATTTCGATATTTATAGTAAAAATGGTTTCCGTATATACGTTATAGTTTTTTACAATTTCGATATTGGTATACCTGATCTGGTGGAGCAAGGAGTCAGAAAGCCAAGTAACATAAAAGAAGAAGAAGTAAACAATCGATAATACAACTTTCTTGTCCCCAATTGAGTTTTTGTTTATCACTTAGTTTCTGAGGAAATAATGAAAAATTTATTTGATTCAAATTTTAATGTAGGTACCCTTAAAACACCCATTGATGGGATTATTGCAATAACCTAAATGCGATGAGTAGGTATTATTCTGAAATTCTGAGACTTTTGTATTCACCAACCGAACTTAATTTTGCTATCATGAAAGCTTATACAAGGTAATCATAAAAAACAACAATTAATACTTCCAACATCAACACCCTTCTATCATGAAAAAGTAACATTTCAGGACCTTTTCATCTTAGAATCCTCCAAATAATCGCCCTTTGAAGTTTGACCAAATACTTAAATAAATAAGTAGTGAAATATTCATCGCATTCGTCAGATGTCCGAACAATAATGATTTAAAGTGGTTCTTATATTTGTATTGATACAAGATCGAGTAATAACAATGATGGTGGATGCGAATTATAATTTTTTCTTCCATTTTTTTCGACGGTTACTGTATAACTGAAACATTCTACTTAATATTGGTTTGTATAAGGAAATAAAAACAAACACCAAGACACCCAAGAGTAAACGTAAAATGGGAATCCCGCATATGTCTTGGGTTATCTCGACTGATGCTCAATATAAAACAACTGATTTGTAATATTCAACCAGTATTGAAATAATCATACGAGACTCAAAATGGTTCAGAGGTTATTGTTATTGATTAGTGTCATTCTTAGTTCCCTTGTAAGCGATACAATATCATCAAACCCAGTGAAAAATTTCGTGATAACTAAAGGTGAGTGAATATATTTTGTTAGTGTACCTAACTGAAGATTCTACAGATTCTTTTGGCCATGATGTACTCATCAATACTTTACCCAGTATCAAATTGGAGAAATTTGGGGACAGACTTTACTATTTCGGAGCCATATTTGAGGTAAAGACCCATTATTTTGTACATTGTTTCGTAGCTTTTTGATGAGGAATCTCTCGAGTATTTATCTAGGTATGAAAATGTTTGTCATGTCATTGGATGTCGCGAAATATTGACTATAGATATGATGTGGAAAATTCTGATTTTGTTTTAATATCTCAAGGTTTTGTTTCCATTTGTTTATATTGACTCGGAGGTTACTTGATGGAAATACATGGAATGTCGTGTGTTTGAGAATTTTGTGGAAATCTTATCGTTTGTGGAATTTTTACGTTCTGTTTTCATTCTTCGTGTGCATGAAAACTTCTAGAAAAAACTACATTCCTCCTCGAGAATCATGCCATTTTTAAATGTTTTAGGGAAACTATTACCGCGCAATACAGTTTTGCAAATACCATGACATGGAATTGTTGAGTATAGAGAGTAAAGAAGAAAACGACTTCCTTTGGAAACATATGCAATCTTTCCGTAAGTATATACCTACCTATATTCAATGTGCACAGTGGGATTATCAATTATTTTATCCAAGACTTTGATGTACAAATGTCATCTGTTTTTTCAACCCTTTGTAAGTGACAACTAGGTACCACTCAACTTTTTTATAACCAATAAGCTAGAATCGAGAAGTACCTACCTCATTTGAAAGAGCTCATAATAATTATTCAAAATGTTATATATCAACAGGTTGATGCCTGATTATGTTCTATACCAGTGATTCAGAGATTCTAGTAAAACAAGTTTCTGAATATGTTAGTAAATTTAGAAATGAATTCTCTCTCAAACATTTTAGTCAGATTTGTTGCAATCAGGAATAGATCTTTGGAAAAATGGATGGGAAGAAACCAAAAATAAACCTATAATAATATACCCAAAGAAACAGCCTTAGATACTTTACAGCATTGCAGTATCGAAATATTTCCCACTATTTATACACTCCTGCAGATAAAATCTGTTATGCTGGTGAGTGTGGCGAGTGCTGAAAGATCATTTTCTATACACTTGAGTAAGACACTGAAATCATGGTTGAGGTGTACAATGGGTCAGGCTAGTCGAATTAACTTTATATTAAATGTTCATAGATATATTGAAATAGATATAGATGCTGTTATCGATAGGTTTTCCTCGAGGTTTTCAAAGCAATGTAAAAGACTTTGTTTTATAATCTAGTCACGGGGGTACCTGATATTTTGTTAATTAGATTTAATCAAGAGTTTTGAATGATAAGTTACCTACTTTATATTATCTAATGTTGAAATTGAGAGATTATTTCTTTTTTTTTTCATCTAGTTCATATAATACGCATATAAAATATGTTTTCATCGAGAATATTTATCTTGATTTGTTCATTTGAATGAGTGATAATTGTTATTTTGGCAATTTTGAATATTCTAAGATATAAAACAGCTTTAATAAAAGTTGAAGCTAATAAACCTCAATTTTGTGTTGATTTATTATACACTGAAACGCGTTGTACTACTATAGGCAACCCCCAAATTATAATTTAATTTCCGCTACTGAGTACCCCCCCCTGGAAAAAAACATACCTACGCGCCTGACTACAATTGTTTTTTTCTACTAGCGTGCGGAAAACCTCATTTTTCAGCACTTATTTTAGTGTTGAAAGAGTCACGTTTCCGCACTAGTGCGAAAAAAAAAGATTTTGTTAATATTTTGGGAAGTATACTGTTCTTGTTGATATGTATTTAATAATAAATCAGTTTATTCATGTTTTTCAACTTTACACGTGTGGAAATGTGACACTTTCCTACCTACTCAGAGGTCTATTAGAAATTAGAGAATTAATCAACAAAATATACCAAAGGCTTGCTCAGTTCACATCAGACGCCATCATTAAGAACTACTTTGAAAGTAGCTTCTTAGGAAGCACAAAATGTGCAATGTCTTTAACTCGTGAGATCTATTGCACCCTTCCAACCTTGTGTTTCAGTTGGCTGGGGTGAATATTACTTTTGGACGTCAGGTACCACGATGCCAGACGACCACTGGGTGTGGCTGTCTACAGGGAGACCGATAATTTTCGCCAACTGGTTCCCGAACCAGCCGGACGATGCGGGAAAAAACGAAAAGTGCTTAGAAGTCAGGTACTCCAATCACAACAAGGCGTTAATGTGGAACGATCACGTGTGCACCGAGGCCAAACACGTGATTTGCGAGACGACAGTACCGAAAAGTATTTCCAGTATGGTTGCTGCGTACCCTGATAGTTGTAATGTGACTATATTGACTGTGCCAGCAGAATGATCAAAACAGTATTTTTGTACATATTTCAAATTTTCAAATAAAGTCTAGAAATTGAAAAGGAATATTCTATGATATAATTATGATAAAAAATGGATATCTACAGTGTGACCCACTTAAGGCCGGAGCACCCTTCTAAAATCTATAGTTTTTAACCAATTTCTTTATTTTTTGTTTCAGCAGAAAGACTTTCCGGAGATCTACATTTACACGAATTTGCAAAATGAAATTTCAATGTACAGGGCATACTATGTTATTTTTTTCATCTTAAAAATTGCGAAATATCATTAGCGATTTTTTCCAAAAAAAATCGACCCCACCACTAGATTCAGCATCCTTCATTTAGGTTGAACGCAAAATTTCATTGAAAAATATCAATTGGCAACAAAGTTATAACAACATTAATTTTGATTGCTCACCATTTTTTATGATTATTTCAGACAAATTCTGAGAAGCGGCTCATTGTCAACACAAATGTTGAAAATCCCAGTATGACTGGGCGAACTGTGCCTAAACGATGCTATACTACGGGTTATTTGTGACTATATACAGGGTGTCCCGAAATTAGCCTGCCAAACTTCACCAGCGGCTTTTTCGACCAAAAATAGGATGAAAAGTTCCAACGAACATGAGTCGAGAAATGTCTACTACGGGAGCTACGGCTCCCTGAAGGAGGGCTCCTGAAGATGATATTTCTTGAATATTTCCGAAACGCCACGTGATCAAATAATGCAATTTCGTGCAAGAACTGAACTTTCCATGCCCAATGCGGCGAGCATGAATAATTTCAGAGTTTCATTCAGGAATGTATAATACAGGGTGGGACTACATTAAATATTGCTCAAACTTTTTCGTATTCATGTTTTTTGACAATTTAATCTCGCACTATGAAAATCCACACTATTTCACAAAAAAAAGTGCTCTAGTTCCGCATCGATCAGATGTATCATACTCGAGTGAAATCGATTCAAAATTATTGATGCACTCACATATTATGCATAACGTTGCCAATTCTGAAATCATCGTGGCTATAAAAAATCAAGTACTCTCTTTTCACCAAACAATATCATGAAAGCGCGAAAAATAAAAAAATGATGAAAAAAACTACTTCAATTTTTGTGCATTGTTTTCCATTTCCACCACGCCTCATTGCAATGTTATGCATAATATCTAAGATGTTACAATATTTTTAAATTGCTTTTACTCGATAATAATACATCTGATCGTCACGGAACAAGAGTACCTTTTGTCTGTAAAGAGGGATGAAATTTCATAATCCTAGAATAAATTGTCGAAAAATATGCTTGAAAAAAATTTTGAGCAATATTTAATGTAGTCCCACCCTGTATTATACCCTCCTGATTGAAATTTTGAAATGATTTCATTTTCACTGCATTGGGAATGGAAATTTTAGTTCTTGTCCCAAATTGCATCTTTTAATTACAAGGAGTTGCGGAAATACTCGAGAAATATCATCTTCAGGAGCCCCCTTTCAGAGGGCCGTAGCTCCCCTTAGGAGACATTTCTCGACTCATGTTCATTGAAAGTTTTGTTTCTATTTTTGGTCGTAAAAGCCGCTGGTGAAGTTTGGCAGGTTAATTTCGGGACACCCTGTATATTAAAATGCGTTTTGCTCTGCCACCGAGTATCCGCCATTTGTATACAAAATTTTATAAATTTCGGATACTAAGTAGCAGATTTTTTTTCGTGAAGCTTTGTGTACACGAACTGTGTGCCGAAGCTGAGAACGATAACTACATTTCCGATTTTGTTGTTAGTAGACATCACATATAACTGCTTTTGGTACTTCATATCACCCCACCATTTTTTCATGATTCGGTCTAATAAATCTTCTGGCCACACCATCACCATTTTACATCTATTTTTTATTCAATATAAATAACTCAAAAAATATAAACGGTATTTCATAAACCACGACACTACTATATCAAAGGGCAGAATTGGGGTTCTAATCTTATTGTCACGTGAGTAATGCAATTAGATCCTGCTCTTCCATACAACCTGGAATTAAAAATTCAAAAAGGTCTGAGTGCTAATTTGAAAAAATCTTGGTATTATTTGTACAGAGATGTATGTGCCGCCAACACTAATAATATTCAAAAGGTATATACAGTATGATGCAAATGTATGGAATACATTCATTTCAAAACTAGACGACTTTCGAAAAAATCCAAAAACTAGAGTTCAGAACTTTTTTAATTGATGTCTCTAATATGAATATCATGAGATGAGGCTTCAAAACCTAAAACTCACGTATTCTTGGAATTTTTTCAAAAGTCGCCCATTACTTATATATGTGTTTAATCCATTTTCAAATTCAAATGTTTGGTCATTATCAAATTTGTAGGAATACACTAATTTTCTCACTTCGAAACCTTCTCGACTTTCTCTTCCTCCAAAGTGCTAATATGGAACTACAATGTTTGCACCACATGCGGAGTAACACTACAAAATAATAAGATCACCAATGTGAATCAATCAACAACAGAAATTGAAAAGGGTGAAGTAGGTACTAATGAGAAGGGTATAAGTGAAAAAACTCCCAAATTCAAGCAGTTCTGTGATTATTGTAACTTGCAGACATATTCTATTCATTATCTCAGTTATTTTGCACATAGAACCATTTTAAATATCTCCTCTATCAAGTGGGTACTCACATCATTGCGTCGAATCTCCTACTTCTTTCTATTCCCTATTCATTTAAAAAACGATGATGGTTTATCTCGATTTCGAAATACATTCATTCCGAAATCAATTTTGCTAATAACGTCTTCAAACAAAAATAATTATTATATGGTTGTTTAAAGAAGATGCCTCGGGTTTGTTTGATATCTTTGCAAGCAAACTATAGGCATTCCGTGCAATGTGCAATATGTTTCACCTTCACACACTTGACTAATCACATGTTCCTTTTGAAACGCTTTTGAGATCAATGTCATTGGCCAATTAACGATTCTTATAATTCTTATGTTCATCAATGGATGAAGAACAAACTAGTTACTTTTAGAGCATCAATGAAAGGTGCATACGGCATACATAAGTAAATTATTGTAGCAGAACAATACGACTTTTATGAAGATCACTTAGTCAATAACGAAATTCAGGAATGGATTCGTACAATTTTTGTGGATTTACTAGTCATAGTATTTAGATCAATAGGACAATGCAAAGCACAATGACCTGATTCATCTATCTCAACTGCAATCTAAACTGCATTAGAAAGAAAATAATGTGGCCATTGATAAAGCTAGACTGCTGTCATACGTATACACAATTTGTTGCCTCGAATGTTACATTTATACATAAGCTATATTATGGTACCAGTTATAGTGTACTTTATTTTATAATGACAGCACAGTTTAGTTCATGCACATACATACGTACATACCGAGGTACATACTTGGTCGACATTAACTATTAATTATCATTTTGCTTTTCAACCCCTTTTGTGGTTCGAGGAGATATTATTCATCATAAAGCAAAATCAAGTCATAAGCAGGCAACAAGCTATTGATGTATAACCCAAATATTTTGAAGTACTTGTTTTCAAAAAGATTTAGGGTCCTGTCGTTGAATAAATCATAAAAGGAGGAACCCATGATGTTATAGTTTATTCTTGACTTTTTCAAGCAATTGCATGTCCAAATATTACTTATTCTCCATAAGAAAATATCATGTGAATGTTGGAGTCTTGGCAACATTGTGCTGAATGCCGAGAACTGACAAGACCACGCCCACATGTCGTGCGCCATGTTGTCACGTTCGTCGATTCAAATGTCCTCTAGTGTGAATCAATATAATTATTATTTACCCAAATTTATTATAATTATAGCCATTTGAAAATTATTGAGGCATTATTGATGATTTTAGCACCTGAAAATTGACCAGAACATTCTTAAAAAATATGAAATTGAAAGATATTTGAGTGATGATTCTATTTGAGAAATAAAAAAAATAGTCCATTTGCCTAATGCGTGCACTAGATATTGTTGGTTCCCCATAATTTATTAAACGATTGAATAATTTCATTATATCATTATTACAGGATATCGTTCAATCCAAATTATAGTATGAGCTTGCACGCAAACTTTTCATTCATCCTGTCACTTTTACTAGCCAACTGAAATAATGATACTTTAGGTACATATTGGTATCTGATTTGCCTCAATAAAATTTTGCAACATTGCAAGTGTAACCACATATTTTAACTCAACCAATGATGCAGTTCGACAAGAAATAAAATAAACTTTCATCTGGATATATACAGGGTGACATAGAAAAAAATACATTGCATAGTGCCACACAATAGAGGATACTAAAATAAGAAAAAAAGTTCCTATGAACATGGGTCCGAAAGGAAAAATATACTGAAGTACGACTAGTACGAGGGCAAAAATTTGAACATCTTCTAAAAACTCAATGTTTTGTTCTAATTAATTTTTGCACTTTTGACTAGTCCAATAAGTTTTCTAATGTATTTAATTCTATAATTGTGTATGTGTGAACATTTTAGTGATTAATAAAACTATTTCTATCAACATAAACTCCAAAAGTTGAAATAAAATTCCAATACCTACCTTTCCTTCTTATCTTGTCCTCGAACATAATATGGATTCCTCTCCGTCCACTCCAAAAGATCAAACTGTTTTAACTGTTTGATATCCATTTATAAAATATCAATAATAATTCTAGTTCAATCAATAATGCACTATTTGCCTATTGTGAATAGAGTAGGCCCTGGAAGAATTGTGCATGTAATTTTCTATCATTATGGGATATTTGTCACACCTAGTATATACATGATGGTTTCATATAATATAATGGTCATCATTAGATCGTTCAGAAAGCTCATTTTCTAATTAAGCTGTTTCGAAACGAAGTGTTAATTTTCTGAGGCTGTGATTAATTTCAGTAATAAATCTTAAAAAACAAAACATTTTATTGACCTACTTATCACTAAATTGAATTTTTGATTAACTCTTCGATTAATACCATGTTAGCAGAGTAATAAATAATACTTTTATTAATTATAACCATCATTATTCATATCCCGTTTTGCAATGAACGTCTTACAAAATGAAATGCATCCATGCTGATTCTAATAATGTGCAGTCAGTATACCACCTACATAATGATATCAGAATGTTTAAAAAAAGAGATAATGAGTACCTAACTTCGCATAAAATCTTCCAGAATTGTCAGTGTTGAGTTTTTCCATCATAAGTATACATAGCAGCTGATGCTATAGAGAATGCAAAATTAAAGAAAACAATGTTTATATAAAAGTGATGGATCAAAAGAAGTAGGGTGGTGGGGGGAAGGGGGTATTTGCAATCAATTGTATGGTCAATGTATGGCAATTTCATGCTTAATAAAATGTCGTTTTGAAAATTGGAAAATTCCGAAAAACTTCGAAGATATCTGCAAAAACCGAGATTCCAAGAAACCTTCTTCATTATTTTTTGTGGAAAAATTAAACGAAATGAACACTACTTCATCATGACCGCTTATTCTTTCCTACAAGTTGGCGTATTCAAAATTCAAAATTAGGCGTTTCGTCTTCCAGAAACCATCATAAACTTATTTTTCTTGAATTCGGACCTGGACTTTTCATTTGAATTCTTCTTACCATTGAATGATCCCAAAAGCTATGAGGTATTACAAATTTTCATGGTTGGCTGTTTCGTATACAAGATTCTGTAATTTCGTTCAATAAGACAAGAAGAAACCATTTTTAAAACATTTGTATTAATCCATAAATCGAGGATTTCTGATAGCTCATATTTTTTTACTATCCTAAAGTGCGAAAAAATCAATAAAAAATCCAGGTCCGTATTTGAAAAAAAAAAATTGATGATAGTTTCGGACGACGAAGCGTCTTGAAAACTTCAATTTGTATGGAAGCAAAAGTGGCGATGATGAAGTGCCATTCATCCAGACTAAATTCGAAAAAATAATGATGGGCTTTGGAAATGTCCGCTTTTTCAGATATCTCTGAAAATATACGTACTTTTTCAAGCATTTTTCTAGACATGAGATTGCGCAACAGCGGATCCCCAATCTCTTATGGTTTACAAGATCTCAATGATGAAGCTCTAATTCAAGCCATGTATAGTATGAACAAACCCAATACAACAAAATCTTCAAATTGTTCGAAATAACCGAAGAACTTTTCGATTCAAAATTTTCTCTAACGGTCACATCCGGAAATAAAAAATAAAACGATCAAATCATTGTCGAACCCAACACTGACAATTCTGGTGGTTTTTGCAGGTGTCCTCGACCTGCACGAAATCCAAAGACAGAACCGCATAACGACGCAGATCTTGCAAAATTACATCGAGAAAAAGCTGTTCGGCCAAAATCGGTCAACGCGTCCGCCCAGCATCTGGGACATTTTGCCAATGCGGACCAGAAGAAAACCGCCCAAGGCCAATAACATCCAAGAGGCCATCAACAGCCCCAACGACAACGAGACGTTGGTGAGCGGTGAATCGGAAACGGTTTCCGCCTATCGGGATTTTCAAGACATTGAAGAACAAGGCGAGTTTCATTTGCCCTTCAGTCTCGATACACTGTCATTGGAACAAAAAACGTCGAATAAAAGTGCGCCGTATTAAACTGCGCCGTATCAAACTGTGCCGTTTATAACTGTGTCGTTTATAACTGCGCCGTATCAAAGTACACTGATTGATTGATTGATTAATGGCAGAATGATCAGTCAGGGTTTGAAGCCCAAAACACTGCAGCCTTTGGGCCTATTGTATTCCTGATCATGCTGTTGACTTAGGTGAACAGGTTCGCTACCTTGATGAGGTTTAGCAGCCTCTTCACCAGATCATTCTTTGAAAATGCCTCTTGAGAGTTTACTGCTCCCAGAAGGTTGTATCTCCAACGCGCTAGTGCTTCGCACTCCAGTATTACATGGGTGGCAGTTTCCTCCTCCTCATTGCATAGTCTGCATATGGGTTCGTCTGTATAGATGCCCATTTGATGCATATGTTTCCTCAAGGGGCAGTGACCGGTTATTAGTCCCGTCACTTGTTTGATCTGACTTCTGTTTAGGCTCACAGAATGTCGTTAGTCACTGTTTTGGACAGTGTTCCAACCATCAGTTTACTGTGTCTTTGTCCTGGGACATTGTTCCAGTATGCCTGATGTCTTTCTTGCATCCACCTTGCCAGCCAGCCGCGTATTGAGGTTTTGGGGATACCGAACACAGGTTCCGGCCCCATAAACAACGTCGCAGACCCTTGCCGGGCAAGAGCGTCAGCTGCTTCATTGCCTTCAATTCCCTTATGCCCTGGCACCCATTGAAGAGTTACCTTGTTGTGGTTAGCCAGGGTTAGCAGGCTTTGAAGGCAATCCCAGACCAATTTTGATCTGATTTTATTGCATGTTAGAGATTGAATGGCCGCCTGACTATCTGAGCATATGAGGATTTGTTTACCTCTGTATCCTCTTACGATATTCTCTCTCAGGCATGCCTCAATAGCATGCACCTCTGCCTGGAATACTGAAGCATACCTCCCCAAGGAAGCACACATCCTGGTTCTGGGTCTATCTCCATATATTCCGGCACCCGTGCCCTCATCAGTCTTAGAACCGTCAGTGTACCATACTAACGTGCCTTCCTGACAGTTAGTCAAGACCCTTTCATCCCAGTAGAGCTGAGTGTTGAAGGGTCTGTAATAGTTATTTCTAGGCAGCATTTTGTCCCTTCCCATATCCATTAGTGGGCTTAAAACTTGGCTGATTATTTTTGTATGTCCCAGGGAGTCACCCCGAGCATACCAGTTGCCGGTACACTCCAGTCTGTATGCCCCCATCCTCGCTTCCGCCCTGATGAAGATTTCAAGAGGTGGAATATTGAGTATGGTTTCCATAGCAGCGGTAGGAGTGCTGCGCATAGCACCTGTGATGCAGAGACAAGCTAATCTCTGGAGTTTTGAAAGCTCCATTATAGCTGATCTTTGTTCAGTCTTAGGCCACCAGACAAGCGATCCATATACAATCATTGGTCTCACCACAGCAGTATACAGCCAATGTACCATGCGTGGTTTCAGTCCCCATGTGTTACCAATCGCTCTCCGAGAAGCCATTAGTGCCATTTTGCCTTTGCTGACAGTCTTTCGCAGTTGAGTATTCCAGGTTAGCCTAGCATCTAGGGTTACTCCCAGATACTTAACCTCAAAGTACACTGCATCAAACTGTGCCGTATCAAACAGCGCCGTGTCAAACTGCGCCGTATCAAACTGCACTGTATCAAACTGTGCCGTAGAGATATCATTATATAAAACGGTGCACAATAACGCCAGTATGAAATCGCACCGTAGAAACAAAACTGCATTGTACAGAACACCTTACAACAAACACTGAGTCGATCGAAACTTCGCTGAACCAAAAGGTACCATATAAAACTGCATCTTAGAAAAGACACAAAACTGCGTTGTACTTAAAGGTACCGTATGAAATTGCATCGTGAGAAAAATATTTACAACAGTGTCGTGAAAAATAAACCGTTTCAAACTGCACCGTACAACTGGTAACGTATGAAACCACACCGTGTGAAAGACAAAAAACTACGGTGTACAAAAAGGCACCATATGAAATTGCGCCGTAGAAAAAAATATAATCTGCGTTGTATGGAACATGCAACGTAATGAAGACTCAAAACTGCGCTGTACCTACAAAAAGGTACCATATGAAAAAACACTGTTCATACGAAATTAAACCGTATTGAACTGAAGAAAAAATTATAGAAATAAATCTGGGAATAATTCCTCTAATAGTATTGACGAAGGCTCATTTCAAGCCAAATCTGCATAGGCTTCCTCATCTGGGAATTGAAGTAGGCTGATTTCCCTGAAGAATGTTTTGAGGAAACTAAATTGGTTTTTCCTTTCATCAAAAACTATATATATTGGACTTTGCCAGGATGATACGAGAATAATGAAAAATTTTCGAAATTCTTTCTCATTGTTCCTTCTTTCCTCTTCTCCTTTTTTCCACTTTTGATGTTTCCTCTTTTTTTTTCCAAAATTTCAATATTTTTCGCTTATTTCATGCTCTTTTGCCAAAATCTTCCAGTATCTGGGACATTTTGCCGATGCAAGACGAGAATACACTGTCATTGGAAGAAAAATCATCGAATAAAACTTCGCCGTATCAAACTGCGCCTTTTCCAACTTCGTCGTATCAAACTGCACTGCATCAAACTGCGCCGTATCAAACAGCGCCGTACCAAACTGCTGCGCTGTATCAAACTGTGCCGTAATACAAGAAGGCCAGTATGGAATTGGACCGTCGAAACAAAACTGCATTGTACTGAACGATACCGAATACAAAACACAGCGCCGTAAAAAAAACGTTTGAATCTTTCGCTGATTCAAAAAGTACCTATCATACCTTAGAGAAGGAAGACACAAAACTGCGTTGTACTAAAAAGTACCGTACGAAACTGCACCGTAAAAAAGTCGTTTGAAATTGTGCTGAAAAAACATAGAAAACTGCACCTTAGAAGAGATACATAACTGCATTGTATAAAAAGGCGCAGTAAAAAGTAAACCCTTTGAAACTGCGCTGTACGAAGAGGTGCCGAATAGAACTGCACCGAGTAAAAGATAAAGAACAACGTAGCACCGTATGGCATTGCGCCGTAGAAGAAACATATAAAACTGCGTTCTATAAAAAAGCGCCATATAAAATTGTACAGTAATAATGAACCAAAGATGCGCTGTTCAAAATGATACCGTATGAAACTGCGAAACGAAAAAAGTTGCCGAATGAAAGTGCATTGCGTAGGGTAAGCGAGACTAGAGGTCTCAGATATTATAAAAGGAAAAGAGATAGAAATGAAGCTGAAAATAGTTTGTTAAAGAAGATCGACTATGCTCATTTCAATCCAAATCTACACATGCTTCCATATTTGGAAACTTAAGTAATGACATCATACCGAATTATTTTTTCTCAGAATATGGCATATTTGGAAAAAGCTGTATTTTTGAAGAATTTTGTGAGGGAAATAATTTGGTTTCTCTTTCCCTGAAAAATTATGAATATTGAACTTTTCCAGGATAATACGAAGAAGGTAAAATTTTCGAAATTATCTTTCGTTGTTCTTTCTACTCCCTTCCAATTTTTTTACTTCTGTTTCCTGTTTTTTTTTATCATTTCAATCTTCTGCGCTTGTTTCATATGGGTATTGATTCAGCTGAGAGGCCAAGAAACTATTTATGTGAACATTTTTTAAATATTTTTTTTTAAACATCGATGACCGATAGCTTTTTCTCGATTTATCCTCCAGCTCATTTTATTGGTGAAAATTTACCTCATGGAGAGGCAGGGAGGTAGGAGGTTGATTTTCAGGTGAGAATTTTGATATTCCTTCGGAAAACCTGGTCCTAGGTAGAAATTATTTCTTGATTACTGGATTTTTTGATACTCCGAATGACTTCAGTTCTTGAGAGAACTCTTTTTGTCTTTGAGATTTGTTTCCAGATCATAACAAAAAATTAGCTCTTTTCAAATATATCAAAATAAAGGTAATGTCTGGAAATAAAATTCGACGACCGTATAAAACATCGCCGTACAATTCTGAAGACGTACAAAAAAATTCAGGTTAGATTAGTCAGTATCTCTGGTCGGTGTGATGAAAAACAATATTATTATTGAGACTAAAAATAAAGTATAACCATCAGCGCTGTATTAAACAACGCAATTCAAAACCAAACGATACATATCAGCTTTGTGAAAAAAGGAATCAAACATGATTTTTCTTCAGGATTCGTGATGACATTGTAAGATAACTCATCACGATGACCTCACATATTGTTGAAACAAAAAACAATTTCTCAATTTTTCAAGGTGCGTTATCACCAATCAATTTTATTAATGTGAAATCAGTTACGCTTTCAGCAATAAATGAGGAATTAACAACAAATTATTTGTAGATAGCGTATGATTCAACGACAAAATATATCACATTTGCAACAAAGAAGTGGCTACATCATCATTTCCATCGTAAAAAGTCATCAAATGCAAATATAAATTGGATAATTACGATAAGGTTCATTTTGTTAAGGGAAAATTGATACGAATTGAGCTAATAATATAATGTGAAATAATTTCGAATTGTAGAGGCAATAATCATAAATATTCATTTCAAAAGTGAAAATCATTTTTCGATAATATAGTAATTGCAGACTTATTTACGTAATAATACATAGCATAAGTTCGCTGATATCCGCTTCTTGATATTTCATAAATAATGGGTAATAATACTGCTTATAGTAGATATCTTTAATTATTCGATTTTTTTGTAATGAATATGTCGATTTCAGAGCAACCCAACCAAAAATAATTCACAACTTTCCATTACTATTAAGTATACGACAAAATAGAATATGAAACATGTAATCAGATATCATGGTGTATACAGTATACTACTATAACTAACACTGTTATAGAAAGTAATATAAACTGCGCAACAATAATTTCGTCGCACCCCAAAATTTCGTCCCTGTTAAAATATGAATAACTTTTTTCTGCTTTGAACAATTTGAATTCGGATTACACTTTTCGCTAGCCCAGTCCTTCAGCTATAA